TCCACCAGCCCCGGCGCCGCCCCCTCGCCGGTTAAGCGCTCCTCGTCCCACGCGATCAGGTAGCCCAGCCGCATCACCTCGACCGCCCACTTGCCCCCCCAGCACCTTCACCACATGCTAGGGGGGGGTCGTGGCCGAGGACCCCCCAGAGACTCGTGGTCAGGCCCTCCGGGCCCTTGATTTTACGCCTCATTTCGCAGCATTTTCGAGGGGAAAATCATCCTTTGGAGCTACATGAGCCTTGAGACTGGTCAGATTCACCAAGATATTGGTCTTTCAGCCACGATTTCACAACTTTGCACGTCTCGCGCGCGCGTGAAGGCCCCAAATGACGTGTGAGTGTTAGAGTTGTTTGGTATTGCTAAAAATCTCTCTCAACTTTGGGGGCAAAATCGGCTCTCTGGCGGCTATTCCTAGCCCACGTGCCACGAACCGCTGGGGGGTGCCCACCACATGCTAGGGGGGGGTGGGGCGTGAGTAGAAGTGCGCCCCCCTCCCTGGAAGCGATGTCCGCCTGCTCCCTCGAGATGGAAGCAAGCCGTGAACGCAGGCTTTTGCAGTTTATTCTCATGAGCTAGCAGCCCGTCATCAATGTTACGAAACAGACGCAAGGCGCGCAAGTTCATTTTGTAGAAGGGGTGAGGGGGAACAGCGAGCAAAAGAAAAAGGCGGGCGCCGAGCGCGCGTCCCCGTGGCTGTGGCGAGAATGCTCTCTCAGCTCTGGCATGAGGTGCTGCATTGCCTCACGACCGGTGCGTGGACACGGGCGGAAGTCCCTGCGGGAAGGCGCGAGGCCTCGCTGGCATGGATGCCGCAATTCTCAAAACACGTCGGTCCTGAGTGCAAGGCGAGCGGCCGCGCCACCGTCAATCGATGCTTCACTTGTGGGGCAGGACGGCCAGTGCTGGACGTGTCACTGGTCATTTTCGTGGCGCTTTCAGCTCGGCCGGCCCGATGACGCTCTACGTGCTTGGCGACTCCATTGCTGAGCAGCTGGCCTTTTCTCACTGCTTCTTCCTCCACCACCTGGACCTCTTCCCGTGGGCTGACGCATACCTGCCGCGCCAGGCGCAGTGCAGAGAGCAGCACCTTCGGCATCGGCACTGGAAGTCGCCAGCCACCGACCGCTGGGATGAGCTGCCTCTCACGGTCGTCGAGTTCCACTCATACAACACCTACAGGCGGGCCTGATGCCGTTACGTTAGCACAATCTGTCTCGCCCGTATACTGCTGAGACTCGCCTCGTATCCCGCCAGGTTTTGGAAGTTCTTGATGCCGCACCTACCGACACTGCGCGCGAGGTACTCGGCTGCGGGTGGCACCTTCCTAACATTGGTCGTCTTCCGCGACCCGGTCGCGCATACCGTGTCCACATACCGCTACATGGGCACGAGCAAGCGACGCAAACCGGCACTATCGCAATGGGTCCGAGAGAAGGGAGAGGAGAGCAGTTCGGTCTACCGCGCTCCGAGCTGGGGGCTTCAGGTGGCGGCCAACCTCGAGGTTGAAAGGCACACCACTCGACCCACCCTCCACCGGAGTTTGCTGTGCCCAGGTCGGCCACCTGAAGCACCTCGTCGACGTCTGCCTGGATACCAACCAGACCCAGGCTTGGGTCGGCGAGGCAGCACGCAAGCAAAGAGTGCGGTCGTCGACGCTGCGCCTGACCCCCGCCTTGCGCGCCCCTCACAGGTCTGCCCGGCGGGCGGCTCACCCGGCTCGGGCGGATTTGCGACGGCTTGCAGCAGCGGGGAAGCGAGAGGGCTCCGAGCCGCTGACTGGCTGACGCGCTTGCTGCTTCGTACCTTTGACGTCGTGGCCACGATGGACAAGCTGCAGAACGCAGTCAACCGAGCGCTCGCTTGCGCCGGTGCTCTCCCACGGAGGGTGGTGCACGTTTCGCCGATGTCATCGGGCACGGCGGCGCTGCCGCCCGCTGCCGACTTGCTGCAAAGGCGCTCCGCCCCCGCCCGCCCCATCCCCTCTCCCGCCCATGATTCCAGCCCCGCCGCCGTCATCGCACCGCGTTACCCTTGCGGCCCTCCCCTCAGCCTGTCCGACTCCGAGATGGGGCTGCTGCGCAACTTTGTCCAGTGCGACATGACCTTGTTCCGCGCCGCCGCCGCCGCCGCACAGACACAGATGGGTTGGCCGCACGCGAAGGGTATTTGCAAAGAGGTCGAGCCGCGCTAATGGGGGAGGTAAAAAGAAAGAACTGGCAGCGCACAGGAGGGATGTGGAGGCTCGAGGAAGGAGCACTTGGAGGGCACAACATTTTTCCCGCCAAGAGCTCTACAAAACGTTGGCGTATATATGCGCGACTCCGACAGCGAGCTCGGCGAGCTCAACGTGTCGATCGCCCTGACGCGCTGCCTTGTCGAGCGCGGTGACAGCAGGCACTACTGCCGCAGTCGGTCAGCTCTCGAGGGGCGGCTGCGGCGGCTGCTGGCGCACTGGCGTGGGCGAGACTCTCTTTCGGCGCTCCTCGCGCTCCGTGCCCATGCAGCGCGCGTGCGCGCGGCCGTGCGTGTGTCGGCGGCGCGGCGGCTGCAGACCGAGGCTCGCGCGCTGCTCCACGGCGGGCGGCTCGAGCGCATCGCGGTCGCTGTCCACGCGAGCACCGCTGCAGGCGCAGTGTTGCGGCGGCTCGCGGCGCTGGCGGCGTCGTACAGGCGGCGCGAGCTGGCGCGGCGAGCGTTCGACACGGAGCGGTCGAGGCTTGCGCTTGCCGCGCTGCGCCGTAACGTCGGCAGAGCCCGCACTTGCGCCCACCTCGACGCTGTCGCACGCGGCGCCCTCCGCACGTCGCGGCGGCGCCTCCTCTTGGGAGGGGTGGAGGCGCTGGCTCGCTCGGCAGTCGGGCCGACGCGCGCGACGCTGATGGCCTACCGCAGCGCGGCGGCGGCGACGGAGCTCCGCCGAGCCTTTGCCCGCCTCGCCGCCGCCGCCACCGCCGCCACCGCCGCCGCATCCTCCCACTCTGAGTGCAGCCTGCGGCGGCTGGGCGGTGCGCTGCGCGCTTGGAGGAGCTCGACGGGCGTGGAGACGGAGCGCCAGCGGCGATGCGCCGCCGCGCGGGCCGCGGCCGCCGCGCGGGCCTCCTCCCGCGCCATCCGTGTGTGGGCCGCCGCCGCCGCAGCGCGGACCGCCGAGGCCTGGGCGGCGGAACGCGCCGCCGCAGCGGCGCAGACGCGCTGCGGCGCTGCTGGTCTGCGGCGCTGGCGCGGCCTGTGCGCGCGGCGTGCGCGTGCTGCGGCGGCGATCGAGCGCGCTCAGCGGCTCGCCCTGGCCGCCGCCTTGGCGCAGTGGGTGCGTCGTTGCCCGCCGACGCTTCTCGACGGCTTCGCGGCTTGGCGCGTCGACCTCGAGGCAGGGGCGGAGGCAGGGGCGGAGGCAGAGGCGGAGGCAGAGGCGGAGGCAGAGGCCGCTGCCCGGTCGTATGCGGCCGCCTCCCGGAGCGCGGGTCCGCGGCGCGAGGCCCCGCCCCGGCGCGTCGAGCCCCCGCGGGTCGAGCCCCGGCCCGCTCGCGAGCGCCAGTCGTGGGACGCGCGCGCAGCCAGCTGGCTCTTGGCCGCGATCGGATTTGACGCGCGGCCGGTCGCGCGCGGGAGAGGCTGCTTCTCCATCCGCCGCGAGGAGGAGGGAGGGCCTCGCACGGCGCGGGAGGGCGCGGGCGGCGAGCCTCCGCCGCGGCGCGCCCTCCCGACGCCGCGCCGCCGCCCGCCCCTCTCACGGGGCTCCGCCCTCGACGCCGTCGCCTCTCGCGCGCTGCGCCGGTCGGCGCTCCGGCGCTGGCTGCATCACCTCCCGCGCCGCCGAGCGGCTTGCCGCGAGTTGCTTGCGCTGCGGACGGCGCCGGTCGGTAGCGACGGCGTCGGGGCCGCCCTCCGCGCGCGCCTCTCCCTCCGCCGCTGGGCAAACAGCTGTCGGGCGCGCCGGCGGCTGCAGCAGCTCGAGGCGACTGCGGCCGCTGCCCCGCGCCGCCGCTGGCGCTCGCTCGCTGCGGCGCTGGCGGCGTGGCGCTTCGGCGCGGCGCGGCGCGCGGCCGCCAGCCGCGACACGCAGCGGCTCGCCTCCGCCGCCACGCACGCCCATCAGCGCCGTTCGATGGCGACCGGCATGCGCGCACTGCGCAGGCCGGTGGCTTGCGCACGGCAGCTCGAGCTGCGAGGCTTCCGCCGCGCCTTTGCAGCCGCCGCCAACCACGGCAGCCGGGCGCCGTCTGGCTGCCCCTCAGGGCCGGTCGCATCGGACAGCACCGCCGCCGCCGTCGTCTTCAACGCCGCCGCCGCCGACGCCACCATGCGCGCAGCGGCCCTCCTGCACCGTTCGCTCCGGAGGGAGGTGAGGCGCTCTAGATGGCGCCCTAGATGGCGGACTAGATTGCGGACGGCGGGAGGATGGCGGGGCACGTACCCGTGCCCGTTGTGCTCCCTCCAGTGATCCGGTTCAGAATGCAGTGCGCGACACCGCGCTCACCCCCCCCCCCCCCCTCCCCCTCCTCCTCTCCGTGTGCTCAAGGTGCGCCGCACCGTCCTCCGCGCGTGGAGAGCCGTCGCATCGCAGTCCGCGACCGAGCATGCGCAGGCAGAGCGCACCGCCGCTCGGCGCGCGCTCGTGCGGTGGCATCGCTGGGCGTGGGCCGAGGATGCGCGCGTCAGCGCCGACAGTCGCCGACAGCGTGCGCTCGCGATGCGGCGCTGGCGGCGCGAGTCTGCGCGCCGCAAGCGCACCGCCGCCGCCGCAGCCGCTGTTCGTGGAGGCGCGGAGCGTGCGGCGGTGAGGCGGTGCTGGATGCAGCTGGGAGTCGCGGCTATCAGCGGGACGCGCCGCCGCGCCGCCGCCGACGCCATCGCTCGGCGCGTCTGTGCGAGGCAGCTCGCCTCCGGATGGGCAGCTCTGGACGCCGCACGAATGCGCCTCGCAGCGAATCGTGACCGCCTCCGCTGCGGCCCGACGGGACCGCGCTTCTGGCCTTCCCACAGAGTTGTGGTCGTGAATAGGCGCCTGCTTCCACCTCGCCGCTGCGAGGCTGGCGGACAGGAGCAGCGTCGCGTGCCAACGCCACTTGCGGCTGTGGCGTGAGCGCGCCGCCGCCGCCGCCACGCTTGCTCGCCTCTCTGCAGCCGCGCGTCCTCTCGCCGACAGGCTCGCGGCGCGAAAGGCGCTCGGCGCGCTGTGCCGGTTCGAAGCGTTCCGCTCGGCCGCTCGGCTGCGGGCGCAGCTCGCCACGGCCGCGTGCAGGCAGCGCCATCGCGTGGCCTTTGCGCGCTTCCGCTCCGCCGTGGCGACGCGTGCGGCCATTTGCGCTGAAGTTGCTCGGACGGTTGCGTTTCACCGGAGGGCTGCGGCGCGCCACGCGTTTGTCAAGTTGCGCGCTGCGCCGCGCTGCGAGGGCGCGCTTCGGCTCGTGGCGATGCGGCAGTGGCGGCGACGCGCCATGTGTGCCGCGCTAGCAGCGTGCGCGCGCCACACGGCCGCTCGACTCATCCACCAACGCCGCACCACTGCCGCTTTCGCCCTCATGCGTGCTTGCGGCCTCCGGCGCGGTCTGTTGGCCGCGGTCGGGAACGCTGCGCATCGGCGCAGCGTCCTGGCCCAGGCTCGCTCCTGCTGGCACGCCCGCGCTACGCTCGTCGTGGCGGCGTGGCGGCGGCGCGTCGCTGCCGCCGTCTGCATGCAGGCGGCGATGCTCCGCGCGAGACACTGCAGCCGCCGAACAGAGTTGGGCCGAGCGTTGCGGCGGATGCGGCAACGAGCGCTCAGCGGCGCTGCGGCCCCCGCGTGGTGCGAGCGCGGCAGCTTGGCGCAGCGGGCGAGAAGCCCCGCGGCGGTGGTCGAGGCACCCGCGCATGGGCCGCAGGCGGACGCGTGGCACGTGGTGCGACCAGCAGCAGAGGATGCGTGGTGGGATGTGTGCAATGTAACCAGAGTGGACCCGGAGGCAGAGGAGCCTCCTGAGGAGCGATCGGCTGGGGCGCTGCTGGGGGAAGTCGGCGAGGAGGGCTCGTCCGAGGGCGGCCGGCCGCTGCACACGTCGTTGGATGGGGTCTCTGTCGACGGGCGGGTGGAGGACCCACAGGCGCCGCTGCAAGTCGTGGCGCACGCGCGGCAAGGGGATGCGGTTGATGTGCAGCACGTGGCGGCCGGCGCCGACGACAATGGCGGCGGCGGCGAAGCGGGAGGCGAAGGTGTTGCAGACGAGGCGGCCGTGCGGCTGCAGACTGCGGCCCGCGGCTGGAGGACTCGCGCCGAGGTGTCGGCAGTGAGGGCGCGGGCGAGGGCGATGGTTGCTTCGGCGGCCGAGAGGGCGGCGGAGGAGTCAATGGCGGCGGGGTGGCGGGAGACCGCAGAGTCAGGGGTAGAGGAGGAGGCGGAGGCGGAAGAGGAGATGGTGGCAGAGGCGGAGGCAGCGGAGGCGGAGGCAGTGGCGGAGGTGCAGCCCCTTCCTCTTTGCGCGCCACCATGTCTACCACCCCTGCCCCCTGCTTGTCCTCCGCCGCCTCCGCCGCCTCCGCCCCCTCCACCCCCTCCGCCGCCTCCACCCCCTCCACCCCCTCCACCCCCTCCGCCGCCTCCGCCGCCTCCCCCGCCTGCTCCCGTGGCAGAGCGCGCCATCTCGCCGCCTCTGGCCCCGGTCTCTCTGGCGCGGTCGCTGTCGCTGGACGCGCCCCTCGCTCGCACCTTTGGCCGCGTTGCCATGAGCTGCGACGTGCGGATGCCGCCGCCGGACGTGCTGCGCGACCGCGGCCAGGCACGCACGCGGAAGAGCTGGGCGCCGGAGAGGCGAGGCGAGGGGGATCGTTTGGGGTGCGGAGGCGCGGTTGGCGGCAGCTCAGGCGCCGCGTGTGCCGGTGCGCCGTCTCTCGTCGCGCCCACATCGAGCGAGACACGCGCCCGACGCGCAGCCCCGTTCTGCTCTTAGGCGTCGCACTGCCACCGCTCTCCTCCGAGGACGCGCCGCGGCTGAGTCATCGACGCTTCTCCTGCGACGAGGGCAGCGGCCTTCCGGCTACGAGCGCATCCAACACCCCCGCCGCCGCGCGCTGCTGCTCCTCCTCCGCCCGCTCCTCGTCCGACTACACCGCGATGTCCAGGACACGTCCAGGACACGTCCGAGACATGTCCGCCGCCCGCTCCTCGTCCGACTACACCGCCGTGGTCTACACGAGCCTCGACCTCTCGCCCGCGGCACAGAGTGGCGCGGCCGGGCCCGCTCCCGAGCTGCTGCGCCGTGCCTCTGCCTCGGCCTCCCCGCCGGTGGCCGCCTCCGCTGCGGCCCCACCGGACGCGCCTTGCCCCACTCCGCTCACAGAGTGCGGGCATGAATAGGCGCCCGCTCCCGCCGCGGCTTCCGCCAGCCGCTCGCCGCTCGACAGCCCGCTCGACAGCCCGGCGGCCCTCGACACACAGTTCGCGTCATGGGCCACCTCTCCCGCGGGCGTTGCTGCCGGCACCGCCGACGCCGCCGCCACCAGTGTCTCGACCGCTGCCACTGTCGACGCCGCCGCCGCCGCCGCCGCCGCCGCCGCCGCCACTTTTGCCGCCGCTGCAGCTGCCGGCACTTCCTGTAGCGACGCCTCGCCGCACTCGCCGCGCTCGCCGCTCGATGTTGAGTACAGCAGTTGGCTCGAGGCGCTGTGCGGCGGTTGCGCGCGTCGCGAGGAGGAGGAGACGACGCCGCCCTTCTGTGCCCCGCCTGCGGGTGCGGCGGCGCTGCTGACCAAGAGCGACGCAAACGGTGTCGGCGGCGCGCGGAGGACGCTCCAGTACGACGCTACGTCCAGCATAGCACATGGTTGTTGATTGTGTCAGTGACAGTGTGTGCGTTCATGACCATGATCCATGTGAGAGTCAGAGAGGCTCAACACCGAAAAAGGGCGCCCTGTGCCGCGGCGCGGGACCGTCCACATCTTCACCGGCTCGGTAATGTCCACCTCGCCCTCTCGCGCCAGCGCCGCGCCGCCTTCGCTGTCCGCGGAGAGCGGCGGCGACGTCCCTGCAAGCATTCGGACGGCCGCCAAGGATGGCCAAGCGGGTGCGGTGCTGGCGTGGCTCGACGGCGGCTGGGTCGACGCGACGTTCGAGTACACCTTTGGTGACGGCTACCGTGCGAGCGGCATGACGCTGCTGATGATCGCAATGACCTACGGCCACGCGGAGCTGGCCGAGGCGCTTCTGCGGCGCGGTGCGGATATCTCGTTGCAGAAGAGCGATGGTGGCACCGCGCTGGGTCTCGCCGCCGCGAACGGCCGCGAGAAGCTGGTCGAGCTGGCATTGCAGCACGGCGCGGAGGTGAATCAGCAAAACTATACCTGCGGCACTGCGCTGATGGACGCCGCCTACAAAGGCCACGAGCGGGTGGTCGACACGCTGATCCGGCACGGCGCAGAGATCAACGTGCAGGCCAACAACGGCGGCACCGCTCTGATGCTCGCCGCTCTCGGCAACCATCCCGCCGTGGTGCTCCGCTTGCTGCGGGCGGGCGCAGACATGAAGCTGCGCAATAGCAGCGGCAATACCGCGCTGCAGTGGGCCAAGGAGAATTGCCTCACCGAGTGCGTCGAGGCCTTCAGGACGTATCTCGGGGAGGTGACGGCAGCTCGGAGCGAGGCTCTGTCGGCCGAGGCGGGCGGCGCAGGGGCGGGAGACGCGCCCGCAGGCGAGGCGGAGGCGGGCGCCAGTGCTGCGGCCTCTGCTTCGATCGGCGAGGGCGGCGCAGAGACCGCGCCGGGCAGCGAGGCGGTGCCAGAGGAGGTTGTGCTAGCGGCTGAGCGAGGCGAAGAGGCGACGATGCTGGCGTGGCTCGACGGCGGCGGGCGGGTCGACGCGACCTTCGAGTACACCTTTGCTTGCGGCTCCCGTGTGAGCGGCATGACGCTGCTGTTGGTCGCAATGTCCCATGGCCACGCGGGGCTGGCCGAGGCGCTTCTGCGGCGCGGTGCGGATGTCTCGTTGCAGAACAGCAACGGCAATACCGCGCTGGGTCTCGCCGCCTTGAACGGCCGCGAGAAGCTGGTCGAGCTGGCACTGCGGCTCGGCGCTGAGATTGATCAGAGAGACTGCGTGGACGGCGGCACTGCGCTGATGAGCGCCGCCTACAAAGGCCACGAGCGGATTGTCGACACGCTGATCCGGCACGGCGCAGAGATCGACCTGCAGGACACATACCGGTACGGCGACACCGCACTGATTTGGGCCGCCTCCTACGGCCACCCCACCGTCGTGCGTCAGCTGCTGCGGGCAGGCGCTGACATGACGCTGCGCACTACGGAGGGCAAGACCGCGCTGCAATGGGCCAAGGAGAAGGGCCAAACCGAGTGCGTGCGCGCCCTCGAGGAGCATGCGGCGGCCGAGGCGGCGGCCGAGAAGGCGGCGAAGGAGGCGGCGAGGGCTGCGGGGGCGGCGGAGAGGGCGGCGCAGAGGGCGGCGGAGGAGAAGGAGGCGGCGCGGCACGCCGACGAGCTGCTGGCGGAGGTTGAGGCGGAGAAGCGCGCCAAGGGCAAGAAGGGCAAGAAGAAGAAGAAGGGCGGAGGGGCGGGCGCGGCTGGGCCGTCGCAGGAGACGGAGGAGGGTGCCGAGGCGCCGTTGGAGGCAGCCGAGGCTGCGAAGAAGGCCGAGGAGGAGAGAATGATGAGGCTTCTCGAGAAGTGTCACGAGGAGAGGATCCGGTTCGGCATCACGGCGGAGAGCCAGGCGGCGGCGTCGGCAGCGGTGGCCGAGGCGGTGCGCTTGGACGCTGAGGCGGACGAGGCGGAGGAGGAGGCGGAGGCGGACAAGGAGGCGCTGGCGGCTGCCGAGGCAGCGCTGGATGAGGCGAGGGCCGCAAGAGACGCGAGGCGTGCCGCTGCGGCCGCTTCGATGGCCAGGGCGGTTGCAGCCAGGATGGCGGCGGATGCGGCCCAGGAGCGCTCCTAGAGAGCTGCTCCGATCCTTCACGGGTCACCACGTTTGGAACGCGAGAGTAGCACCGGCGTGTAGCCTCGAAGGGGCAGCCGGGGTCTCGCGTCTAGGGTCGTACAAAGATGTAAGGTACAAGAAGCAGGGCGCGAGCCGCGCACAAAAGCTGCGCACACAGAAAGCAACGCCGGCGAACCCCGCGTGACCGCACAATCGAGGGAAGAAACTCATGTGAGACAGAGGGTCACGCGGGACACGAGCACGGTCTCGGGCACCGCACCCGTGCTGCCACAAAGCACAATGTGCTGCCACAAAGTACCACTAGCGATGTCGAGGCCGCCGCCATCACCGCCTCCTCCCAGCCTGCAGTCAACCTCCGCCCTCGCCGCCGCCGCCTCCGCCGCCACCACCGGTGCGGGTCCTTATTCCCGCTTGCGCACTGCCCCCAGAAGAGCTGCACAAGGGGCAGCACCAGCGCGCGGCCGCCGACGGGACAACTTTACCTCCGACAGCGCCGATAATGATCTTTGTGGGGGATGCGGGATTGCGTTGCCGCACCTGTGTTGAGCCTGTCTGCTGTGTGAGAGAGATTTGTTTTCAGTTTCTTTCTTTGTGTGCAGGCAGGGAGGCAGGTGTATGTATGCGGGCGCGCGGAGAGGGAGGTCTTGGGCGATGTTCAACGGATCCAGCCCAGCGACCTCTACGTGTCGATTGGGGACTGCTCCTCCGTTCCGGCCGAGATACTAGGCGGTGCTGCCGTGCACTGGCGCCAGCGAGCTCCATTCAGATCCCGCGCGCGCGATCGGCAGTCGAGTTACACCCCGCAGCCGTGCACCCGTGCTGTGTGTGCCCGCGCGCACTCGAAACGTGGTTTTCGGCGATCTCTCGGCGGACCACTCGTCGACTCGCGGTCGCGCTCGGACACGCGAGGTGCGTGCTCGCCTGCCTCCCCCGGGAAGGACACGGCCGTTTTCAGCGAGATCTGTGGAATCATCCTCACCACCCTGCCCTCACGCCACCCAACCCCCTAACCCGTAGTCTGCCCGTAGTCTCGCGCTGCTGCCGCGCAACACTGGGACGTGCGCGGAGGCGGACGTCACGTGAGTGCCACCCGCGGTCTCTCGGCGCTTCTCAGCCTCCCTCGGCTCGGCCCTGCGCGCGCGAGGATGAAGCCCCCTCGGCCGGCGTGACCGGCTGCTTCGTCGTCCTCGCCCGAGCGCCAATTCACAATTTCAAAACATGAAAGTTGAAACGGTGTGCACGTTTTGTTCATGTTGGCTCAGGCTGCCGTGAGGGACGGCTCAGCTGACACACACAACGCTAAAGCCCACCCACTAAAGCCCACCAAAGACCGGGGCTGACCCGTGCCTCGACTCGTCTTCCCTTCCGGACCTCGCCTCCCCTCCCCTCCCCGGGGAGCCCGCCGTCATTGTCTGAATGGAAACCGCAGCGCCGAGAGCAGCAAGAACGCCTCCTCCTCGCTCCTCGCCGAGGTGCGCACCTGCCCGCCCAGAGACACAGAGAGCTGCTCAGGAAGGCGGCGGGGTGGCATTCTGACCACTACAACGCTGGGGCGCGTGCGCGCGTGTGCGCCGCGCTGGGGCGGGGCGCGAGGGCCGCACGGAGCCTGCACTCCCAGGCCGGGCGTCTGCTGCACGTTGAGGTTCGACAGGTTCTCGTGCTGCGACTCGAACTCGAGGAAGGTGCTCCAGTCGCGGATGCCGAGCGTGTAGCCGCCGTCGTGGTCAAAGGACTTGCGGTCCAGCCCCTCAAAGTCGGTGATCCGAGGCAGCACCTGCGTCACGAGTCGGTCCATGAAGTGGTACATGCTGTCGCCGCGCAGCGCAACCTTGGCGCCCTCGAGGAGGCCCTCGCGCGTCTTGTACCGCGCGTTGGCCTTCCGGATCCGCGTAAACTTTGCCTGCTGCCCCGTTATCAGCTCGAGCATGAAGGCGGCCGCGATCGGGTTGTCGAGCCCGCTCGGCCGCAGCCGTGTCGCGACGCTGACCGTCACCTTCTCCACGCGCGGCACCATGTGCACATTCTTGTACTGGAACTTGGCGAGCAGCTCGGGACGCACCACCGTCTCGTAGAAGAGTCGGTAGCGAGAGGCCATGCCTGGCGAGGCCGACACTCAGCACGCTGCCGGGGATTTTTTTTTGAGCTTAGCCTTCGATGTTATGAAAACAAACGCAAGGCGGACATGGCATATCGCTCTCGGGCTCACGGACATCCCTCACACCCGCCGCACACCCGCCGCCCCCGCGCGCGCCCCACCCCGGCCGGGAGAAAGGGGAGTGACAGTTTGGGATTGCAAGCCCGAGTATGTTGAGTCCTGGCTCAACAACGCAGATAACAAGAGGGGGTGGTCCGGCTCACAGGTCCGGCTCACGCGCCTCGAGCTCGCCACTCGACCGCACTGAACACTTCCGCCCCCTCGCTCCCAACCCATCCACCTCGCCGACCGCAGAACCGCGCGATCTCGGGCGATCTCGGGCCGCGCCGCGCGATCTCGGGCGATCTCGCGCTATCTCGGAGCTCCACGCCACGCCGCCCCCCCCCCCCCCCACCTCACCCACCGCCGCGCCGCGCCATCTCGGGCGATCTCGGAGCGTCGCTCGCGCGGCGTCACACCTGCTCAAAAAAAAGGAAGGGCCTGGTTGGAGCCACGGGGCTCACGAGGACGTGCTCGCTCGGTTCTCGCCGCCTCGCCCTGCGCCACTTGGGCCGGTGAGGCGGCGCCCCGCGCGGCGCGTCCCTCGCCCCGTCACGCCGACCCCTGCGCGCACCGCTCATCTTCAGCCCTCTCGGGGTTACTCTTGCGCTCACGCAGGGGAACCCGGCGGTACTCCCTTCCCCCCACCTCCGACGGGTTAGGTCGGTTCTGCGCCCCTTGGCGCCTGTGCATGTCCCGCGTGCCCGCCTGCCAGGGCTGATGCCAAGGCCAAATCAACAACATGCCCGGCTGATGCCAGGGCCAAACCCACTGCCGTACTCGCCGTGGGCCCCACCCACCAAGTTTGCCCGTTCTGCGCGCATCGATGCGCTCAATGGGCAGACGGTGATTGGCTCAGTCTCTCAAGTTCAAGACGCCTTTCAGGGTCTCATCTCCCTTGACGGGCCGGTGTCCACAATGCAATCGACAGACCCCATGCGCGTCAACAGCATCGACTGGCTATGGCGCGTGAGCGTACCGTTCACTCTGGTCGGCAACGTGCCGGCCGCGCTGTTCGTCGAGTTGAGATACTCTTCCCCAACCGCTGCAATCGACGCAGAGTCGCTTATGCAGCTGCCAAACAACGGCTCCGAGGTGTCGTTCAAAGTCGCACCCGCTGAAGGGAGCACGATGTACCCGACGGGTCTGCTGCTGGCGGCGCACGCTCTGCTGGCCGAGATCAACGCGGCAGTCTGGTAGCCGGCATCTTGTCACACCTCGTGCAGCCGCCTCGTGCAAATTGCAGCCAAGGTGTGCCAAGCTGGACGAGGCTGGCGCTCCCGCTGGGGGAAGGCAGCAGAGCGCCTCATCATAGCTGCTCGAGGCGGCCGGCGCCAGGTTACGCGTTTTTTTTCGAAAACTAGGGGGGCGGCCAAATTTCTTTTTGTGCGAGGGAGCTACTTGTAAAATTCTTTTTGAGCTTAGCCTTCGATGTTATGAACGCGAAAAAATTCTTTTTCACGCGCCAGTCCCGTGCTCAGTGTTGTGCGAGCTTACCAGAATTCTTTTTTCAAGCGACCGAGACGCTCAGCGAGAGACGCTCAGCAGTCTCGCGCCTGAATGGCCACGGCGGCCGCCCTGGTGGCCTCTCTGCGATCACAAAGTGCGCTCGAGACGCTCCTCAAGGTGGTTAGCAACATTCTCAAGGCGCCCACGGAGCCCAAGTACCGCACGCTCAAGACGTCAAACGCGAAAATCAGCGTCATCACCGAAGCGAGTGGTGGGACCGAATTGCTGAGAGCGCTCGGCTTTGAGGCTGAGGCCGGGACGCTGGTGCTTCCCATGGGCGCGGACCTGAATGTGCTCATGGACGTTCAGCGCGCCATCACAGAGGCGCTTGCAGCGCCAGCAGCGCCGGCAGCCGCTCCAGCCGCGCCGGCGACGGCTGCTCCTCCACCTCAACTCCCAGCGACGGCACAGGCCCGGCTGCACGAGCTCTTTGCCGCAGAGATGGCGGTCGACGGCGACGCAAACGCGGCGGCGGCGCGTGCGCTTGGGCGGCTGCAGAAAGAGGCGGCGGCGGCGCCGGCTGCTGCTGCCCCGGCGGCGGCTGCCGTGGACGCGCCCCAGCCGATGGAGACGGAGGAGGAGGAGTTGGACGACGACCTCAAGGCGGCGATCGCCCTCTCCAGAGGAGCGGGCAACACAGAGGGGGACCCGGGCGGCGAGGTGTCCGGCGAGGGTAGATGCGGGACAGATGCGGGACGTCTCCCCTGCAGCGAGGTGGTGGAGGGTGACGGAGCGCCGGAGTGGGCCTGGCGATGGCATGCCCGTCCCTCCCCCCGCGTCCTGCTCCAGACTCCTCTCCACCTGGCTCCTCCGAGGCGCGCGACACCAGTCCGCGTCCTCATCCCCGCTCTGTCTTCCCCGCCCCGTGCAGGGCGAGGCGCAGGGCGAGGCGCAGGGCGAGGCGGACCTCGCTGCGGCGCTCCGCATGCCGCCGTAGATGCGTGGAGTCGAGGTTCCACTCGAGAGGACCACTCGAGAGCACACGCATGCGGCTGTGTTCGGATGCGCGCGGCTGCATTCGTAGCCTCCGCACTTACCGCGGTGCTCTGCACATGGTACCGTGTCCCCCCTTCCCCACTCGACTCTGGTGCACTCTCCCATCAAAGGCATGTCGCTCGAGCCCTCCGGCGGCAGTGGCCTCGCGCCGGCCGCCGACGACATCCTTTCCCGCGACGGATTCGAGCGCCGCGTCAAGGCCCTCCTCCTCCGAGACACCTCCGAGACACCTCCGAGACACCTCCGAGACACCCCCGAGACACCTCCGAGACACCCCCGAGACACCTCCGAGACACCCCCGAGACGCCCCCGAGACACCCCCGAGACACCCCCGAGACACCTCTGAGACACCCCCGAGACACCTCCGAGACAGCACGACCTACCGCCACACTTCCAAAGCCCACGCGTCTCGTCGTGCTGCTGCTGCACTCCTCCCCCCAGATGAGCCGCGCTGCCGAGGAAGTGTCCGTGACACGTCCTCCCGTCTGCCACGCCGCAGGCGCTGTTTGCGGAGGAGCAGCTCTCCTCGCCCGACGCAAACACGGCCGCGGCCAAGGCGCTCCAGCGCGCGCAGCAGGAGCAGCTCGCTGCCGCCGCCGCGCAGCGCCGAGGAGGCGGCGCCGATGGCGGCGGCGGCGGCGGCGGCGGCGGCGGCGGCGGCTCGGCGCCGGCGCCGGCTCCTGCGGCCGATCCTCCTCCTCCGCTCGCGTCTCAGGGCTCGAGCTCTGGCGGCGAGAGGTGCGTCTTCGCCGCGATCCGCTACCACCGGCACGAATGCGAGAATGTCACGTTCAGCCGTTGCCGTCAGCCCCCCCTTTCCCCCTCCCCCTTCCCTTTCCCCACCTCTTGCCATCGGAGACTGCGCAGCAGCCGAGCAGCCAGCTTGCCCGCCCGCCGGTCAGGTTCGAGCGGCTCGAGGATGTGGAGCGGGTCGCGCAGGAGCAAGTGGACGCGATCAACGCCCTCTACCACTCCGACGGCGTCGTCTTTGTCGACCCGACCTTCCCGCCCATCCCGCGCTCCCTCTACTCGCACCCGGACGGCGCGCGCTCTTTCAAGTGCTCGACCTGCTCGAAGCGCTCCAACCTGCCGCCGCAGCCGACCCGCGAGGAGCTCTTCAACCTGCGGTTCAGGGGGGACGTCGCGGCGAGGCAGCGCACGCTGCCGTGCCTCCACTGCGGCGCGCCCCACCTCGCGATCGAGTTTGCGGTGCGGCCGGTCGGGTGGGAGCGCGCGTCGGCGACGCCGCCGCAGGGCATCGTCGACGACACGACGCTCCAGTTCTCGACAGTGCCGTGGGTGGTGTTCCGGGGCGAGCCGCGCCCCGAAGACATCCGGCAGGGCTCCGTCGGCAACTGCTGGTTCGTGTGCGCCCTCTCGGCGCTCGCCGAGAAGCCGGAGCTGCTGCGCCAGATCCTGCTCACGCGCGAGTTCAACCGCGCGGGCGCGTACCAGGTCCGTCTCTGCTTGGCGGGCGAGTGGCACACGGTGCTCATCGACGACGTGCTGCCGGTGGACGCGCTGCAGATGGTTTGCTACCTCAAGCCCGCCCGCCGCCAGCTGTGGGGGCCACTCATCGAGAAGGCGGCGGCCAAGCTGTACGGGTCGTATGAGGCCCTCTCGGGTGGCACGTTTGCAGAGGCGTTTGGCTTGCTCACCGGCTGCCCCTCGCAGCGCATCCTGATGCCGGCGCACCCGGCGCGCAAGGAGCCGCCGCCGCTGCCGCCCGGCGCGGGCGAGGCGGACCGCGCGCACCACGCCAAGGCGATGGAGCGGTGGCGCGCGAGCATTGTCGACTCTGACGAGCTCTTTGCGCAGCTCTTCTCGTTCCGGCACTCCGAGTATCCGGTCGGCGCATCCACCTTCGCCGCGGGCAACGAGGCGCTCGAGCTCGAGATGAAGCGGCTCGGGCTGCAGTGCCCGCATGCGTACAGCGTGATGGCCCTCACCGCGGTCGGCGAAGACGGCACGCAGCTTGTCAAGCTGCGCAACCCGAACGGCGTCGCGCTCTGGAAGGGGGACTGGTCCAAGGCCCCTCCTCCTCCTCCTCCTCCCTGGAGCCCACCCCACCCCACCCCACCCCACCCCCACCACCTCGCGCTCTGGACGGTCGACCGCTCCTGGGCGCCGCCTCTCCCTCCTCCTCCCTAGCCCCCCTCCCTCCCCATCCCTCCCCTCCAGCACCCCCTCCGCCTCCCCTCGCAGCCCCCCTCCCTCCCCTCCCTCCCCTCCAGCCCCCCTCCCTCCCCTCCAGCCCCCCTCCCTCCCCTCCCTCCCCTCCAGCCCCCCTCCCTCCCCTCCATCCCCTCCCCTCCCTCGCAGGCGTCGCCGCTCTGGACGTACGAGCTGAAGCAGCAGCTCAAGCTCGAGCACGAGGACGAGGGCGTGTTCTGGATGGCGTGGTGCGACTTTTATCGCCTCTTTGCAGAGCTCTGCGTCTGCCGGTCAGAAGAGCCGGTGGCCGTCTGACGTGTGACGCGGAGCCTCCCTCCGAGCCTCCCTCCGAGCCCTCCCCGTAGGCTGGCGCCCGACATGCTCGAGGCGCGCGAGGCCGGCTGGCTCGGCTCGGTCTTCAACGCGGGGCAGGCGGTCACGCTCGAGGCGTACGCGCGCTCCGAGGTTGAGGTTCCTCGCCGGCCGCTCGCTTGGCGGGACGGCGAGGACACTCTCGAGACACTTCCGAGACACTTCCTAGGTGGTCCTCCACCAGGAGCCGCACGTCTCGCGCGGCGTCGAGGCGGTGGCCACGCTCGTCGACTTGGGCATGGCGGTGCTCAAGCGGCAGTTTGACGGCTCGTACTCCACCGTCGCGTACGCGGAGCGCTGCCTGCAGCAGAACGTGCACCTCACGCTCACCCTCGAGCAGGACGGCCACACCGCGTCGTACCTCGTCGTGCCTCTCTGCTTTGGCCAAATGCGCTCGACGGAGCCGCGCAAGTTCCGTCTCGCGGTCCACTCGACGCAGCCGCTGGCGATGGAGACGGCGCCGCTCGACGCGGCGCTCGTCGCGACGACCCTGATCCAGCGCGCCGCGGAGCACGGCGACCGCACGCCGCTCCTCAAGTCGCCAGCGCTGGGAGAGGCGCTCGTGCTGCACACGATAGACGACGAGGCGGGCCGCGTCATCGTCGCGGAGAACGCCTCCTTCCACCCGCTGCGGGTGGGGTGGGAGGCGGACGCCGAAGGCTTCGTCTCGAGCCGCCGGCTCCTCATGTGCCAGGACGTGCTGCCGCCGCGCACGCGGCAGGTGCTCGTCGTCCTTTCCCGCGACCTGAAGGGCAAGGCGTTTCGGCTCAGCTACGGCTTCGACGGGGGAGGCCACGAGGGCGGCGGCGTCCCCGCCGCCGGCTTGCACATCCCGGACATCGACGACCTCGGCCAGCTCAAGGCCCTCCACGCGCCGCAGCCCATCGCGGGCGGCGCGGCCGGCGGCGCGGCCGGCCTCGCCATCCCGCCAGCGGCGCCGCCAGCGGCGCCGTTTGGTGATGCGGCTGCGCTGGCGGACCTCATTCGCGGCTTTGGCGGGGGGGCAGCCGGCAGCGGTGCGGGCGCCTGAAGTGCGGCGCAGCGGCCGGCGCGGCCGCTGGGGCGGACGCAGAAGAGAGATAGAGGACACAAGAGGTTTGACGTGGTCCAGAGTGTCCGGCGTGTCCGGAGCTGGAGAGAGGCCGCACAGCGTGCAAGCGGCAAGAGCGAGAGGAAGATTTCGCGGCTCTCTAACAGCTCACGGACCACGGCTGGGCCCCTGTGCTTTTGCAGAAAAAGTCATGACGTTTTGTTGCAACCGAAAAATGATCACAGAGGCTCAAACTCTCACGAGACGAGGGAGGGAGCAGGACTTTGCGGAGATCAGCAGGAGGATGTACGAAGAGATTAGGAGCAGCAGGGACCCGAGGGACCATGTGGAAGACGGCTAGTGCTAGTCCCCCATCGGGAGGACGACCCCGGCTAGTCGCCGACCACACCCCCACAAAGAACCCTGCACAAAGATCGCAAGGGCGGGGACCTGTTCCTTTCTACCCAGCTCATAGTAGAGAGGTGTCCGTTTTTATGTATTTATTTATTTCACCCCACGGACGCCCACGATACAGAGCTCCAACAAAATCTCGCGCAACCCCCCCAAGCAGGGGCCACGGCCGCGTCGCGCGTCATGCTCGAGAAAATAACCAGGTGCCTCATACAACATACAAGATCTGCGATCGCGGCTTGTAGAACACCGCGGAAGTAGTCGCACACGCGGCAACGACACACTCTAGACCTTGTTCATGGCGTCGGACAAGCTGAGTCGCTTGTCGGTCGGCTTGTGAACGTCGACAAGGTAGTCGGGGATGTTGTCGCCGTCCGTGTCGGCGGTGCCCTCGGCGGCGTCGGGAATGTTGTCGCCGTCTGCGTCCGTGTCCTCCGCGTCCGGAAGGCCGTCGCTATCTGTGTCCTTGGTGTTGGACTCCTTAGCGTCAGGGATGTTGTCGCCGTCCGAGTCGACGGTGCCCTCCTCGGCATCAGGGAGACCATCGCTGTCAGGGTCGACGGCCCCCTCATCGATGTTGGCTTGAGCAATCTCACCGGCGCCCTTGCCGGCTGCTGCCGCCGCCTCCGGTGACAAGCCTGAATCGATAGCGTTGCCCGCAGCAGTGCCCGCCGCCGCCGCCGCGTCTGGCGAGAGGCCGTCAACGATGGCGTCGCCGGCGGCATCGCCCGCCGCCACAGCCGCCTCTGGCGACAGGCCCGAGTCCATCGCCGTCTGCGCCGCGTCGGCCGCCGCCAAGCCAGCTTCCGCCGCCTCCTCTGGTGTCTTACCGGCAACGATGGCGTCGCCAGCGGCATCGCCCGCCGCCACAGCCGCCTCTGGCGACTTGCCCGAGTCCATCGCCGTCTGCGCCGCGTCGGCCGCCGCCAAGCCAGCTTCCGCCGCCTCCTCTGGTGTCTTACCGGCAATGATCGCATCGCCAGCGGCATCGCCCGCCGCCACAGCCGCCTCTGGCGACTTGCCCGAGTCCATCGCCGTCTGCGCCGCGTCGGCCGCCGCCGAGCCAGCTTCCGCCGCCTCCTCTGGTGTCTTACCGGCAACGATGGCGTCGCCAGCGGCATCGCCCGCCGCCACAGCCGCCTCTGGCGACTTGCCCGAGTCCATCGCCGTCTGCGCCGCGTCGGCCGCCGCCATGCGATGTGCCGCCCCTAGCACATCGTCCTTGGAGTCGCAATCCCCGAGCGAGTAGACGTCCGCTCGGTACTCGCGCGACTCCAGGGCCTGGAGGACGTCTTCGTCGTACCTACGATGCAACGCGTCCTGTCGTGACGCTTCGCCTTCACGCAGAGATCACGGGAACATGCGCGGTGCGAACCTTGGGTGGCATTCTCGGAAGAACGCACAGACCGCCCACAGAGCGCCACGCTCTGCCATGAACGTGCCGCAGCCAGGAGTCGCAGCGCACTGCATCGCGCACTGCGAGAGCTCCTCTTCCCACGAGCGATCGGCCAGCGGCATGGCGATGGAGTACTCCGATCCGACCTAACGCCATGCCACGGCTTTTGAACGCATGCGCGGGCGGATTGGCGAATATGAAGCGGGTCCTATGCCTCATAGGAAGCCTCGCCGCAATCGTCATTGTCGCACGCCTCCGGCTCGCACACCGTGCTCGGTGCGACAAGGCAATATCCTGGCTTTCCCGCCCACCCTACTGCCGAAAAGTCGCCGTGCACTGCGCCCGCCGAAAACTCAGTCTCCGACAGCTGGCCATCGTTGTCGGCGTCAAGAGCATCAATCACATCCTTCGTCGTCTCGAAGGATGCGTCCAGCCCAGCGGCCGCACGCGCAGCCTGCAGCTCCTCCAGTCGCAGGAAGCGGTCGCCATCGCCCATCGCGGATACGTCGCTGACAGCGTCGTATCCGGGCAGCGTGGCTAGCCCCGGCAGCTGCGCCGAGCCTCCCCCGCCCGCAGCAAGGGGGCTGGCATCCTCCCAAGGCGGCCATGCAAGGTCTGCAACGACGAAGGCGGGCGGGTGAGAAGGGGGTGGCAATGCGCTCTAATGCAATCTCTGGTGGGGGGCAGGGCACTAGATATGGTCGCCTCTCCCTCGCTACCCTGATCAATGCAACCACACCTGCCTCGGCGACAAACACGGTACCTGAGGCATTTGGCTGCGTTGCACCCGCCGCAGCAGCCGCCACCGTACGCTCGTACGTGTCCCAGGGGTTCAGGAGTTGATCTGCAGCGGAGGGGAAACACTGGTGGTGTTCAAACCCACTTCACGTGAGCAGCTAGCATACAACCAATCACAAGCGGGACGACCGCTCGCCGCTCCTACTATGAACATTGCTCATGCGGCTGAAGCGGCTCGCCTGTACTGAGCCTTTCAGCTCCGGCAAGCCCTGCCAGCGCCAGAAGCGCCAGCGAGGCTCGCATGCGCACCGAACGAACAGCCCCGTCAGTAGTTGACGGGAGCTGGTCTGCGGCGGTGGTGCTTTGCTCGACTACCTCTCGTCGCTCGGCCGTCGGCGGCCTGAATCGTAAAAGCTTTGGGGATGCCGCGTGCCGAGTTCGTTCCACACTTTTGGCGGTGGGTGCTCATTGTCAACGCTGGGTGTGTGTGTGTGTGTGTGGGGGGGGGGGGTTCTCGAGCTCCCGTTGTGTACCTGTGTTGTGCCATCGCGCGCCACTCCGGCGAGAAGCGTTTTTTTCTCCGCTCTCTCCTGCCACCGCGCATCCTCGATGGCCGCTCACCTCGTCGCGCCCCGTGTCTCGCGCCTCTCGCCAACGCAGCTGCTCGCCGTCACGCTCCACTCGCCGACGCGACACGCGCAAGGTGCTCGATGAGCCCTACCGGGGCTGCCCCGGCGAGGCATCATCGCGGACGAGCCCGAGGAGCACTCCCTCGTCGCCGAGTTCGGGATGTACTACTCGAGTACAAGTCCCCCGAGATTGCGCCGCTGGCGCAGCAGGCCAAACCCGCCCGCTCACCACTGGAGCGGGCACGCCGGAGGGGCACCCGGCGGCACGGCGATGCCGATGGAGGACCTCGCCGGTTGCACCATTCATTTTTTATTCTTTCTCACACCCCACGGGCACCCCCCCTGGGAGAATGTTGCTCGGCTCAATCCCTGCGATCTCCACGCGCTCGGCGCTCCTCGCAGCGCCCGCTGTTCATGTACCTTCGCTGGATGTCGACTCGTTGACAACCGTGCTCCTCGCGGAGGAGGAGCTCCGGCGGGCGCTCAAGTCCGAGGCCGCCGAGGCACTCGACGACTTCTTCGCCGTCTTCCCGCTCCTCTTTGTGGGAGGCGAGCTGCTGCGGCCAACTACCCACGTTCCACACCATTGCCGACCACACCGTGTAGCCAATCCGTGGGGGAGGTAGGTGGTCGTAGGAGTCTAGTCCTATTGGCTGCCATACGTCCCAACACACATCTGCACTGCATGGAAACAGCGCGATGACCACCGATACCACCCCCTCTCCGCCCAGGCCTCCTCGCGCTGTTCGCTACCGAGTACGTCAAGGGTGTTCACGCTCGGCCGCCTCCCACGCCACGATGGCTACTGCCCACTCACGCCTCTCGCCCCCTTTTCTCGCCGCAGGCCTACTCAACCCGCGAGTGTGAGAGCTCCAGCTCCCGCTCCCGTCGACCGTTGCGCCGCTCGGCACACACGGACACAGTCGCGATGTGCGGCACCGCGGCGCCTCGCCTTGGCATGCTCTTTCGGCCCGTCTCTTTCTCTCTCGGCCCTCTCGGCCCTCTCCGCGCTACGAGTAGCAGGGAGCAGACAGTTGTAATCCTACTCGAGTAGTCTCGCTAGCTACGCTGCTCGCATCAGGCATGGATGGGCCTTGACTCGGTGGCTAAAATAAGCCGCTACATGTACATGTGCATGTGCATGCACATGCACATGCATGCACACGCACACGCACATGCACATGGCATGCACATGCATACATGCAACACAGGTCATGTGCATGGACATGTGCATGCGCATGTGCACATGCGCATGCACATGATGGGGCTTCGCGGAGGGAGCGCCAGCCGCTGAACCCACGGGTCACCCTCGACGTCACTTGGCGACGGCACGGCGAAGGCACCTCCGAATCCGTCGACGACGCGATGTCTTTGTACTTTCTCCTGCTTGCCCCACTCTCCTTTCGCGGCGCTTTTAGGCCCGCCGCTCAGCGGCGGCGCGCAGGTATCGTCGTCGCGACGAGCGGCCCGCCCGCGGAGGCGGCGGACCGGTTGCCGTTCAGCCAAACGCCAAAGAGCCAGCAGCCAGTGAGGGAGGTGCAGGATCTGAGGCGCGCAGAGCTCTAGCGGCCTCAGGCTCTAGCACAAGAGCTCCGTCCCTGCCCTTGGGCGCGCAGATACACCTTGCAGCCGGTGGAGAGGAGTGTGCTGGGCGGCGCCGTGGGCGCTGACGATGATGATGATGGTGGGATGGTGATGGCCATTCATTTGCTGCAGGCGGGCGTTTGCGTATGACTGGGCGGCGGACGACGGGTACGGTGACCGCTTGTGGGGGATGTACGTCGCCGTGATGCTCGTCATCTCCCTCCCCGTCGCGTTTGATACCTACCGCGTTTTGCCGGCGCAGCTGCCCGAGCTGTTTGCGGCGGCGCACACAGGCGAGAAACATCTCCGCGACACCAGATCGCACATCCACCCGCCGGCTAACACGCCTCGGGCGTGTCTGCAGGCACCGCCGCCTTCCTGCTCGCCTTTGTGCTGCGGCTGCGCCTCGGGTGGGGCTTCGTGCAGCGGCGGCTCAAGGAGCGAGTCACGTACTACGAAGCCAACCAGCGCGGCTTCCTCTCGCGGAAGGAGCCCGAGGCGGCGCTGCGCGACCGACTCATCGAAAGGTCGCAGGTTGCCCCGAGCCTCCGGCGCATCGACAAGTCGCTGCTGCCGCTCCTCGCCTCGATTGTGGTGAGCACACAGGCGCTCGACGCTTCCGACGTGCCGGTGCTTCGGACCCTCTCGGGCGAGAGCGCCACGCGGTACACCAACCAGCTGCGCGGAGACGACGAGTTTGCGGCCGCCGAGCAGGCAAAGGCGCGCCAGCGAGGGGGCGGCGACGCGAGCGAGCAGGAGAGCGCCTCCAGAAAAACAAAGACTGCGGCGGAGTGGTCGAGGGGAGTAGACCTGGGTCTGTCTAGCCGCACTCCGGACACGCGTCCGAGCTCCAAGTGTATGCTGCTCGCGACACCGTATGCGCTGTGCCCTGCCTCGCGACACCGTATGCGCTGTGCCCTGCTCGCGACACCCGGTGTCTGTCCCTGACCCTGACCCTTGCGTACTCGTGGCGCAGGAGAACATCAAGCCGCTCTACTGCGACAGCCGCTACTACAAGATCCTCGCGGGCGGCAACGGCCAGGGAGGGGTGGGGTGCAACGGCTTTTGACGCGCGGGGCGATCGAGCGCGAGCCTTTTCGGGTTGTCGCGTGCGGCTCGAGGCTCGGAGGGGTGTTGTGGTCGCGCGCGGGGCACAGACAAGGGTGCGGAGTCCAGTCTGGATGTGGAAGAGAGGAGTATGTACAGTGGCAGGGTTTGCGCGTTGAACGCACCATATATTGGTTTGCTCGGCTCGACTAGACACACATCTGCGCATCATTCACACACACACGACACTCATGCGACTCACGCGAGTGATGAGCCTCGAGCGTGAACATCGGACATTCGGCTTTAGCCTTTACGCATTATACGGCTTTTGTGTTACCATCCGATCGCGCCTCACACACGTGCGCGCACACGTGCGGTGCGGCAGCCCACATACCTTAAAGCCCTGCCTTAATGTGTATGATGAGCCTTGAGCAATGGATAGGGTCGATTCCGCATGGTACGGGACCCCCCTCGATCGTCTGACGTCTCCCCCTCCCTCACTGCACAGCTGGTGCGTTCATGGGGGGGGGGGACACATAACAAACACACGGTCCAGGTGCGAGGATCGAGGTCGCCGCCGAGGGACCTCGGAGGGTAGATCGGGCGGTGTCGTCCCCCCTCTCCATCATCTCCTCGGAGATGTCGTCGGCGGTGGCGGTTGTGACCGATCGAGCTACAAGAGGAGGTAGTTCAGCAGGATCCGGGATAGTCAGCGGATGCACTTGATGTCGGATGTGTGTGCTTGCGTCTTGCGGTAATCATCATTAAGGATGCTGTCGTACCCAAGATGGCTGCGATGTAGCCAGCTCAGCCAAGAGGGCTCACCTCGAGGCGGGCGGTATGGCTGCGGTAGTGCGTCTCGAGCCATAGGTCTACCAAGGATGGCTGCCGTGTGTGTTAGTATTGTAGCCATTAGACTGGAGGATGTGGCTGCACTGCAGCTAGCTCAAGCCATCCGTAGAAGGTAAGATGGCTGTGCAGGAGCCAGCACAAGCCATTCTGATCTTACATTCCGAGGTTAAAGCCGTAGTGCCACTGCTGGGCACTTGGAGCACTTGGAGCACTTGGAGTGCAGTCGGTAGCCTCACATCCAGGGCCGGGGAGCTAAGAAGCGCACCCAGCGGGCCATGATCGGTATCGGGTTGCGGGCTAGAGAGCCCTAGCCCTGGGGGGTGCGCGTTCGCAGGGAAAGGGCCGTAGAGTAAACACACGGTTCTCCGAGGGTTGGGTTCCGTGTACCGGGTTTCCCCTTAACTGCAGGACGCCCCCTCTACTCGGAGCTAACACGGACCCACAACACCGTACTCCACGCACGTACACGGATACACCTCATGTTCCGGGCCCGGCCTTTGTTTTTGACCGCGCAAGATAAAAGGGTGGCTAAGGGCTCTGCCCCGCGCAAGGCGCCCGCGTCGCAGACGCGGTACCATTGACAAATCTGCAATATACCCCCACACGAGCAAATAGCCAAAATCCGAATACCGTGCACGAATCCGGCGATCTGGGCCGTGGACGGGGGCAAGCCTTCAGCTGGTGCCAAGACATTCGTAAAATTGAAGCCAAGAACGTCCGCTCCGTGCTAGCTAGGGAAAGCTGATCGAGCCCAGCGTGCCCGCGACCGCCTCCCGCGCAGCACCGCCGCTGGGGACGACACGCTGCGGAATCGGATCGAGCCCATGCACGGGCAAAGAAGGACGCTGCATAAGCGGTTGGAGAGGCAGCCGGCGTCTGCCGTCACAACGAGTCCCAGCGCTGGTTGGACATGCGCGTCGGCTCGCCCGAGGACTGCTGTCGCGACCCTCCCGTCGTGACGCAGCCTCCGACGAGCTCTGCAACCGAGGAGAGTGAGGGTGCGCCTCCCCTCACTGCTGGCCTGGCTGCGCACCGCCCCACTAAGCACCCCCTCGAGCATCTCTACAGATCTCTACAAGCACAAGTACAAGGGCGACCTTCTCCAAGTCGTCAACACTCCCGGCGGCTCCGACAAGACTTTAGCCTTGGCCACCCTCCTTGCGGAGCAGGAGGAGATCCGCTCTCGGTCGGCAACGTGGCAGCTAGTCGAGAGACTCGGTAGTTGTGACCCCCCTCTGTGCTCTGAGTGAGGACAGGAGATAGAGAGCGTTGTGGCGTTGGTGTACGCAATAACGGGACAGGGTAGTCGTTCTCTCTAGCTCCCCTTCTAGCTCTTAGCATGAGCTGCGCCCTGTGTCCGACCCCTTTTGCGCAGCAACACCTTAAACTTTTAGGCCCTCCATCCAAATTCGGGTCGGAGCGTAGCGGAGTGGGCCCCGAGTTTGAAAAGGGCGACGGACGCTTGCGTCCTAGCCTCCAACAACGCCTCCCCGGCGCAGAGGGGCCCCCGGAGGGATGCTCAACCGCTCCACGCCACGCCGCTTGCGGCGGTCCTATTCCCAGCTCCGCTGCTGTTTGCGTTATTTTTCTGCACCGTTCTGTGTGGCGGCTGCCCCTCGGGCGCTTGCTCGTCGTGGCCGATGGACGACCTCATCCGCAAGCGCCCCGCGACGGGTCCCACCGGCGTGCCGAAGAAGGGGCGCGGCAACGGCTCCGCCTTTGGCGGCGGCGGCGGCTCCATCTTTGGCGGCGGCGGTGGTGGCGAGGGCAGCTCCAGCGTGCAGGTATGCCCCTTCTTCCTGCAGGGCCGCTGCCAGTACGGCGCCGCATGCAAGAACCTTCACCCAGCCGACGAGAGCGGCACGACGCCGCCGCCGGCGCGTGCGAGCAAGGCGGCCGAGAAAGCGGCGCTGGCCGCCAAGCTAGAGGCGGCAAAGGCGCGGTTGGCGGCGGCGGCGGCGGCGGCCGCTCCGGCCGTCGAGATCAGTGGGCGTGGCCGCTCCTCGATGCAGCTGGCGGAGGCGGTCGCGTCCGGCGCGGGCGCGCCGGAGCGTGCGACTCCTCCGCCGCGCGCGAGCCCGCCGCCGGAGGCCGAGGGCGCAGCGGCGCCGGCGGGCGCTTCCGGTGTGTTTG